GTTATATATATTTTTACTACAATGCAACAAATAAACCAACAAACTTATTTATACTCAAAGTAAGGGCATAATCTGTTGGCTTTACCAAAATGTCCAGGTTTTCTTTTAGACAACAAAGGACTCACATACAGAGTTAGATAAACCACTGAGAGAAACTCTGCCTTCAAGCATAGACTATAAATTGTGATTAGGAAAAATTAAGAGGAGTTAGGAATCTGGAAAGTGAAGTTATGGGTTTGAGCTACTATTATTACCTTAGAGGCTGAAACATACTAGATTGTAAAAACAAACAAACAAAAAGACCCCATATAACTAAGCATTGAAAATAAAGGTGCTTTCTTATTTGGTAGAATCCCAGGCCATAGACAAGAGGTCTCCTACAAAGAGCACCAATAGAGCACACACACACACACACACACACACACGTGTCTTGTCCCCTGAAAACTGAGTGCTACAAAGTCAGAGGCAATATGAGCTTCACTTTTAAGTCTCTAGCATTTACACCAGTGGCTACCTATCAGTAGGCACCCTAGAAATAGTATTTGCTGAATTAACAAACAAATTAAGTCTATACCAGGCTCAATCAATAATAGTCCCACCTACTCCATTTGTGTACCCAGATACAAGTAGCAGGTCCACCCTTTATGGAAAGAGATTTCTCTAAAGAAATTCCAGATGGGGAAGTAGTATAGTGTTGTAATGAATAGCACTATTTCAAGTCCCTGCACTGCCAGAAAACAACTGGGTGACTGTGGGCAAACTGCCTATCTTTATTTTGCCTCAGTTGTTTACCTATAAAATAGGAATGACAACAATAGTACCTATCCCCACAGAGTTCCTGGGAGAAATAAACAAGTTCAGATGTACAGTGCTTTTTTGCACAGTGCCTATCACACAGAACAAGAGCTCAAAAAATATTTAGCTACCATTATCCTCAACATCAGAGGTCCTCTGGGTAACACAGTTTGTGTGCTTAGCTACTAAGCAAAACGCTGGTGGTTCAAATTCATCCAGCAGTCCTGTGGAAGAAATGCCTGGTGATCTGTTTTCATAAGATTACAGCAAAGAAAATTCTGTGAAGTGCAGTTCTACTCTGAAGCACATGGGTGGTCATGAGTCAGAAGTGACATGATGGCAATGTATATGGTTTTGTTTTCTCTATCCCCTGCATCTTTAACTGTGAGTTTAGGTTGGGCAAGTTGAGTATATAGGTATGCCCCACACCACATGTACTTATGCTAAGATAAGGCTATGTAAAATTTTCCACCAAAATGTTTCTTTAGGTTCATAACCACTTTCCTTAAAATAAACCTGTAAAATAAATACAGAAAAAAAAAACATTCAACTTCATAAACACAAACATGAAAATTAAAGTGAAATGTTTTTTCATCCACCCAGTTAGCAAAGACTTTAGAATTATAACGTCAGGATCATGAGGTGAAAAGTATTCTCATCTACAGTATGGATAATACAATGCTTCTGGAAAACATATTAGCAGTATGTATCAAGAGGCTTAAAATATCTCTGCCATTTTCAGTCTTCTGTATCTTCAGCAGAGGTACTTTCATAGTATCAAAAAAGAAAAGAAAAGAAACACCCTTAAATATCCAAATATCCATCAAGATGAGAGTTAAGTAAATTATAATACATCCATAAAAGTAGAGCACAGGCAGCTATAAAAAGGTTTTTGAAGACATGAGGGAAAAATCAGGATGTGCAAGTATAGAAGCCGTATCTGTCCTATTACATTTTTTTTTTTAAAGAAAGATAACAAAAAATGTGTAGAAAAAAGAAAGGGAGGCAGAAAAGTAACTAAAATATGCCAATAGTTTATTTCTAGGTTGTGGGACTACAGATGATTTTTGTTTTTCCTCCATAACTTCCTATATTATACAAAATATTACATTTTTAACTCAGAAAAAAATCTTAAGGCTTATTTTGTAAAAATAATAGTTGACAGTGAACAGATGGAACTAAATCAACCATGCTACTCACCCTTGGTTCATTCCATGAATAATAATGTCACTAATGATAATGTCACGACCAGAAAATTCTATCAATCCAAATTCAGCAAATCATACTATTATGAAATTATTTCATGAACTTAAAAAAAGGCTGTTCCCTATTCAAATCACACGACTTAGTTTTTAAAGCCTAGGTTTGCCAATACTGTTCAAGGCTTCCCCTACCATCAATGAAGACTAAATAGGTCTTGAATGTCATTATTTTTCTTGATATAAAAGACATATTGAAATTCTAAGAGAATTTCCTGAAGAAGTCTAGACAGTGCCTTGAAAGAATTTGGAAATGTCTTGACAGTTGGCCACCGTCAATCCATTCTTTCCCCTTCTCCTTTCAGATGAAAGCTGGGAACATCTTTGAAATCAAAGAGCATTTCCATAGTGTTATACAATGAGAAGAGTCCTTAAAATATATAATCAGTCATCTCCCTTCCATCTGCATATATCACATGGATATACGTAGCTTATATGTCTGAGTGAAAGTAAGATTTGTGAAATATATGATGCCACTCCACTACAATATATAGCTTTCACTTTTCAAAAGGTTGTTAAATAAATGAAATCAATATTATTTACTACTTGACTTGTACAGGAGCTCTGGTAGTGTAGTGCCTAAGGCATTTAACTGCTAACCAGAAGGCTGGCGGTTCAAACCCACCAGCCATTCCTCGGAAGGAAGGTTGGGCAATCTACTTCCATAGTGATACTGCCTCGGCAACCCAAAGAGGGGTCGCTATGAGTCGGGGCCAACTCAACGGCACATAACAACAACAACAACAACAACAACACACTTGAGTTGTATGTTTACTGGCTCCAATGAGTATTTTAATGTACTATAGGGAGACTAGATATACATCTTACATTTTAAAAACTTAGACATCTGTCATCTCAGGACTTCATACCAATTTAGTAACTTTCCTTCCCTAAATTAGTATGAAAATACAATTAAGTATAAACATCAACCAGCATGCACAGTATCCATTTACTTGGTTATGGCAATTCTATATTGTTGGTGCTAAGTCTGATACAGCATCAACCTTTGTCCTACAAGTTTGGTTACATGATTATTATAGCAAAGTGTGATTACAGAACACAACTCTCTCATGACTGCTTCCTTAGAGAATTCAGAACTATAGTAAGAATGACAAAACATGGTCAAACTGTGGTTTTCATGGGTGAACACATGTATATAGAGAAACTCAAACTGGGATTCTTAATGTTGAAAACATAACATCATTTCTTAACACTAATGTAGGCTGTGACTATTTGTTTAACAAATAGTATGTGTGTAAATGTTCTGAAATATTCAAATAGCAGATAAGTTACGTAGATGAACTTGGAGGGCATTATGCTGAGTGAAATAAGTCAATCACAAAAGGACAAATACTGTATTAGTCCATTATTTTAAAAGTCAAGGAAATGCTTATCTATGGAAGGACATTTTCTTTGTTGGTTACCAGGGGTGGGAAGGGAAGGGAGGGAATACTGCTAGATAGATAGAGATAAGTTTTGATTTAGGTGAAGAGAAGGGCAACGTACCAAATGTGAGTGATCAATATAGTGGCATTGAGGAAGAGAAAGACATAGAGAGGTACGTGGGAAGTACAGGCAACAAAGATGAACCCTTCTGCACATATAGTACGGCGTGGTCAGTGAAGGCAAACACAGGTATATGGGTGGATAGATGGGTGGACAGGCTGAAATATTAGTATGTCTATGAAGACATCCAAGAACATGTATAGGGTTGGCAGACAGCGGTCCTATAACTTTATGTGTATGATCTGAATTCCCAGGTGTATAATGGAGCTGACAAGGGTCAAGGTTGTAGTCACTGCTTGGTCACAGACAGCTACCCAGAGGGACTGAGTAGTTGAAGTTGTGGGCTCAGGACCATAGTCACAGAGGACACCAAGCTGAATTGGCATAACATAGTACACAAAACATTGTTCCACCTCCCACTGTGGCAAGTAGCAAATGGGATCTTAAAAGCTTGCAAGGTGCCATCTAGATGCAACGATGGGTCTCTCCTCATCCAGAGCCAAGAAGAATGAAGAAAAACAAAAATTCATGGAAACAATTAGTCCTAGCAACTGGTACACCATCCAATCTGCAGCCTATATGACTATGAGACCAGAAGAACTAGATGGTGCCTGGCTACTACTGTCAACCACTTGGAAGAGGATCTACGTAGGAGATCCTGGATAGACAGGAAGAACAATGTGGAACAAAACTCAAAATCATTTGGGAAAAAAATGGGGGAGGACCAGGACCAGGTTTGCTGGCCTGATAGAGCCTGGTGGAACAAATGAGACTATGGCTCCTAGATGCCATTCAGGTCTGGAATTGAATGCACGCCTGTGGCTTCCAACCAAACAATAGACAGGCATATGAGTTGAACATTTACCTTGGGTAGATACACTCCTTGGAGAGAACAAGCATGGGAGAAAGAAGGGCTGCTTATGCATAGGGAGACAGCTCGGGGGGCAGGAATGCATGGAGGGATGGACACAGGAAAGAGGTAACTGTCGGGAGGAAACAGGAGGGGAGCCATTGCACTGTGGTAAATTGTGGTCAATGTCATGAGACAGAGTGTATGTGAACTGCTGTATGGAAAGTGCATTTGCTCTGTAAATTTTCACCCAAATCACAAGTAAAAAAAAATAGAAGATAAGTTTAAAATACTGTAATACTGTAATTAGTAGTATTCTCACTATTCATGTTTGTGAGGTACAATCAATAAATAACAGCCAGCTTCTTATGAATTAAATGTGAACTTCAGTAAAATGTAAGTATGCAAAATATGGAGGGTAATAATATTCAGGGAGAATATTAACATATTCAAACTGCATATTTTTTTTAATACAATAACATCCTTTTTAATATAAACTTCTATTAAATAATGTATTTCTCTAATACTGCCTCTCAGAAATAACCATTTCATCACTGAAGCATAAATAAAAAAAATAAATAAATACTTACTCACAATACCAAACTGTCCCCAGGACAGAAGCACAGCCAAAATAGGGAAAACAACGATGAGAATATTTTCTTTTGGAGAAAACCACGAAACTGGGGAGAAAGAAAACAAAATCACAATTAATAATTATTATAACCACTTTAAGTCCTGCACATGAATGTTCTAGAAGTCCTGGTGGTACTATGGTTAAGCACTTGGTGGCTAACAGAAAAGTTGCCAGTTAGAACCCAGAGTCTGCTCTGCAGAAGAAAAGACCTGGCATTCTGCTCTTGTTACAATTTATAGCCTTAGATATTCTATGGTGCAATTCTACTCTGTCTTATAAGGTTGCTATGAGTTGGAATCTACTTACTGCACCAAAAAACAAAAAATGTTTGTTACTTTATGTTATTGTGGAGATGGAAAAATAAAAATTAAAGCTGTGGCCTTAAAATAAACAGTATAAGTTACTTAGATAACAAAATTTGATCACAAGATGCTACAATTACATTTTCCCTAATCTATACCTTTACTGGAAGTAAACAGTATAACATAGTAGCTGAGAGAACAGTGCTGTGTGGCCACATATCCTGGGTTTGAAGCCCAACTCTAAAGCTGTGTGACCTTGGACAATGTCTTAAACACCTCTCTGTTTTTCAGAAGAGAATAAATGTTACTTGGGTATAACACAGTACCTTCACTTTAAAGGACAGCTATGACTATTAATGAAGTTAATATATTCAAAGAGCTTCAAACACAACCATGGGAAGGAGGATCAAGATGGCAGCTCAGTCATATATACCATGCTGTCCTTCTACAACAAAGACTTGAAAAAGTAAATGAAACAGATAAAGATGGCAATCTTAGAATGCTGTATGTCAAATGAAAAGATAAAGAGTTAGATCAAACACTAACTGGAAAAAGAAACTGATCAAAAAGAGCAAACAAGGAGAAACACAGAGCAGAGGTGCCCTGCCAGTCAGCCCACACAGTATGGCCATCTTGACACAAAGCCAGGAGTGATCCTAAGTGAGGAAGGCAGGAAGACAATTTCATGGAATTCTAAACAGAAGACAGAAAAAGAGTGTAGACATACCTAACCAAAGTGAAGTAAGGTAAGCAGAACTTGAACCAGACCTAAGATGGGAAAGTACAGGAAGGAGGGCGAGAACTCCAGGCATCTGTGTATCCATAGAACAAGGAGGAAGCCAGGAGCCAGAGATAAACTGGGTGGAAGTGTGATAAACACAAGAGTAATAGACCCAGAGAGTGTGAGCAGGAGGTCCCCACTTGACCCGCTGAGCCTGCCCTAACCTGCTGAGTGAGGGGTAGCTTTCTAGGCCCTTGGCTGCCTGACCCAATGCTCCTAGTAGCCTGACCCAAATCCCTACCCAAAGGGTAGGAGAGCATTCCCATGCTTCTAGCCACCTGCCTCAACCCTCACACAAGCCCGATCCAACTTGCTGAGTGGCAGGGAGCATTCCTGTGCTCCTGAATGCACACCTCAACCCCCAACCCTTCTGTCAAGCAGAGGGGGAACATTCTTGCTTTCCTGGCCACCTGACATATTCCCCTCCTGCCACCTATCCCAGCCAGCAAACAGCAGAGAATGCACCCACAGTACTGGACCAATGACTGGTGATGGTCTGTACCTGCCCAGCCTGCCCTCAGACACCTCACACATCCAGAGAACAGCAACAAGGGCTCGCCCTGCCCACTGCTACCCTGCTCATCCAGAGACAGGAGGTGAGTGCTCTCATTCTGTCAGAGGAGCAATCAGCAATGCACGTCTGACCCACCTGTCCTAATACATCAAAACAAAAATCAGGATTAAGCAAACATACATACAATCAATCAATAAATGACATTTAAATGCCTTGGAGACATAAGATAATATCAAATCATATAAACAAATAGGATAAGATGGCTCAAGCAAATGAATGAAGTAAAGAGGCAGAAAACCTCTGAAAGTTAGTAATGATACCAGAACTATGTGATAAGGAGTTCAAAAGACTTATATATAGGATCCTCAAAGAGATCAAGGAAACACAGACAAAACCCTAGAAGAATTCAGGAAAATAACAGAACAAAATGAAAAATAAATAATTAGATACCATACAAAAACAATAACCAGAGATCCAGAAAGTTAACAATAAAATATCAAAAGTTGGTTACTCAATGGCAGGACAAAGAAGAAAGACTGAATCAATGGAAAAAGAAGACAAATTCCTTGAAACTAACTTGTTTGAGGAACACTCAGAAAAAAGGATGAAGAAAAATGAAGAGAGCCAAAGAGTTACATGAAACATTATCAAGAGGAATAACCTATGTATGACTGGAATTCCAAGAAAGGAAGAAACGAAAAGAAGTACTGAAGAGAATTATTAAAGATTTGGTGGCAGAAAACTTTCCTAAGATCATGAAAGACAAGGTTGTTTCCATCCAAAAAGCTCAAAGAAAGTCCAGTTCAGGATAGATTCCAAAAGAAAGGCATCAAAACGTATCATTATCAAACTTTCCAAAACCACAAAGAAAATTTCTGAGAGTAGCTTAGGAAAAACAAAGTATTACATACAATGGGGCACCAATAAGACTAAGGTCTGATATCTCAGCAGAAACCATGCAGGCAAGAATGCACTGGGTGACATATATAAAATTATGAAAGAATAATTTACAACCAAGCAATTCTATATCCAGCAAAATTGTCTTTGAAAAGCAACAGTAAAACTAAGATATTTTCAGACAAGCAGAAGCTAAGGGAATTTGTAAAAACCAGACCAGACTTACAAAAAAATATTGAAAGGAGTCCTTCAGATAAAGAACCAATGACATTAGACAACAACCTGAGACAAAGACACATGAAAACATCACCCAGATACCAAGCCAGACAAAGACTTTGCAAAAGTAAAATAAAGCTAAAAAACTGACTACTGGGATTCACAGGAATTAATCAGTAAACAAAGAAAACTTCTAAACAGTAAGAGGGAATGAAAAATGTAGTTATAAAACTTTCATATGGGGAGGAAGTCTGGGTAATTTCAAGACATAACAGACTTTTAATTTTAAGAGGATAAATGTAAACTTTAGGGTAACCACAAAGAAAAGTATTAACTCTACTCACCAATATAAAGTGGAAGAAAACCAAAAAACTCAATAAACACAAAACAACAATTGATAAGAAAAGGAAATTTATATACAAAAAGAACTCTGTACAGAAAATTAAGAGGACAAAAGGGAAAGGGTTAACACCACAAAAACAGTATAACAAAATAACAGCAATGAATCTGATAGGAAAAAGAAATTGAATCTGACAGAAATAGGACATGAATCCATACCTATCAATAATCACACTCAATGTAAAGGGATTAAATGGATCCATCAAGAGACTGACTAGTAGCAGAATGGATTTATAAAAAAAAAAAAGCCTGATCAATATGTTGCCTACAAGAGACACACCTTAGATGCAAAGATAAAAGTTAAAAGTTAAAGGACTGAATAAAAACGTATCAAGCAAACTGTATCCAAAATAGAACAGGATTAGCAGTATTTCACATAAAACAAATTTTAAGTCAAAATCCATTATAAGAGACAAAGAAGGGCATTTTATAATGAAGACATAATAGTAACTATTTATGCACCCAATGATGGATCTCTAAAATAAATAAAACTCTAACAAAATTGAAAAGAGATACAGTTCAGTAACAGGAGATTTTAATACACCACACTTGATGAAGGACAGACAGAACAAACAGAAAGAAACTCAACAAAGATACAGAAGATCTAAACAATACGATCAACCAACTTGACTGAATAGATGTTGTTGTTTGCTGAACAATGATGTAATATACTGTCTTGTCCATGCGCAGCACGTTCTCCAGAACAGACCAAATATGTTAACCCACAAAGCAAACCTCAACAAAAGCATCTTCTCAAATAACAATCCTATAAAATTAGAAATCAACAGGGAGATCAAGGGAAAATAAAAAATATGGAAAGTGAGTAACATTTATTTAAAAACTACTGAGTAGAAGAAGTAAAACACCAAACAAGGTCCTTGGATCAAATGAGAATGAAAACCCAAGATACCAAAATCTTGGGACACAGCAAAAGCAGTGCTCAAAGGACAACTTATTGGAATAAATGCACACATCAAAAAGTAAGAACCCAAATCAACACCTAAGTCAACATCACCAACAATTAGAAAAAGAACAGAAAAACAAGAGAAAGAATCAACAAGACTAGAAGTTGGTTCTTTGAAAAGATTTAGAAAATCAACAAAGCATTGGCAAATTTAACAAAGAAAAAGAAGATGGAAATAACATGAATAAGAAATGAAATAGGCAATGTCACAACAGAATCAACTGAAATAAAAAGAATAGTAACAGATTATTATGAAGTACTGGACAATTCATAGGACTACTATGAGTCAGAACTGACTCAATGGCACACAACAACAGCATGAAGAACTGTACTCCAACAAATTAGAAAACCCAGAAGAAATGGACAAATTTCTAGAAACATATTACCTATCTATACTAATACATTCTTAGCTAGAAAATTTGAACAGATCTATAACAAAAGAAGAAATTGAACAGATCATAAAAAAAACTGCCCCCTCCCAAAAAGTCCTGGTATGGACAGTTTCACTGGTGAATTCTATCAAACATTCAGTGAAAAGCTGACACAAATTCTATTCAAATTATTCTAGAATACAGAAAATAAATTCATTTTGATACCACCAGACAAAGACACCACTAAAAAAGAAAATTAACAGACTAGTAACCCTCACAAATACAAACACAAAAATCTTCAACAAAATTCTAGCCAATGGGGAACTTCTGGCAAGATGGTGGAATAGGCAGACAAGCTACACAGACCCTCTGCAGCAAAGAAATGAGAAACCAATTGAAACTGATACAGAAGACAATCCTGGAATCCTGAGCTTTGAAGGAAAGATTAAAGAAGTGGATTAAATACCAATTAGCAGAAGAACCTGAATGAAAACTGAGAATGGAGACCAATGGAGCTGTGGGCTGCTGGATGTCCTGAGGGCACAGCCACTTTGAATGTTTGCAAGTGGTATCCTGGTAACAACCTAAGAATCAGCTCTGCT